GGCTGGCCTTGTACGTAAGAGGTTATGAACAGGTGGAGCTTTCCTTACCTCTTCCCCCTCCCCTTTTTTTCCTTTTCCTTTTTTCTTTCCCCTTTTTTGCGCTCTGATTCACAATGTGACAATATATATATATATATATATATATAATATTTTCTCCTTTATTTTTATTTTATTTTGTGGAAAAACGATTTTTTTAACTTTTGTTCCCCAAACCTTTTCACGTTTTCAAAGAGTAGAAGGTAAAAAGGAAGATAAAGAGCGGGAATGAGAAGACGACGGCCAATTAGAGACAAACAAGGATGAGGTCGATCCACACAGAGAAAGAAGAGGACAGCCACGTGGCAGATGGCGAGGAGAGTGGAGAATTTTGTTCTATGCTGCCATAGCCACATCGGGATGACGAAACAGCAGCAGCAAGAGGAGGACGAGGAAGAGGAAGAGAAAGAGGAAGAGGAGGAGGACGAGGAGGAGAAGATTCGTAAATTGTACAGGCCAATCATGCTTGGTAGCTGCATATGCATCAGAAAGAAGAACGTCACTGCTTCTGCATTGCCCCAAGGTGCGTGCCACGTGGCACGACTTCTACGCTAGACGCCAAAGAACAAGAAAGAAAGGAAAAATATTTCAAAAAAAGGCAGCAAGGTAGCCGTAGACCATGCCGTGGGGACCACCATCGTCATGATCGGCTGTGAAGCTATGAAAAACGAGGGCCTATCTCGGTGCTACGTGGAGGCACCTCAAGATAGGAGCCGAAGCAGCAGAAGTAGGAGGAGGAGCAGGACCCGTCTTCAGCCGAACAGAACGCCGGGCCATTCTAGCTGTGTAATTGGGTGGACAACTTTCAGTCCAGGATACAGCGATAATGACCGGGCGTTCTATTCGGGTAAAGACGGTAATAGTATACGCTCTTGTAGCAGACGTAGTAGCTCTCCTTTGAGCATTTAACTTGGACGTTCCTGGCCGCAATTTCGGCGTTTCTTGAACCGAAATCGTCACATCCAACTGGCGCGAACAAGGTAAGCCCTGACGAATTCCGTTCAAAAAAGGCCGAAATTGTGGCCAAAAACGTCTAAGTTAAATGCCCAAAAGAGTAGTAAGAGGAGGAGGAGAAGGGGGAAGAGGAGAGCCACCATCGTAAAAAGTAGGAGGAGGTGTGGCAGGCGCATGATCCACCTCTCTCGCTGTGTTATACTAATCGAGACCTGCCATCAACATCCTGACATATTGGGAAACACGACGGTAGTGGGGAAAAAAAAAGTAATTGACGTACAAATTAGAGAGGGGGAGAAAAATCGCCATCGCCTCCGCTTCCTCCTCTTCGTCCCATCATGAATAGCAGCACCATCAGAACATGATGATGATCATCATCATCATCATTACCAGCAGCAGCACCACCACCATCACCATCATCATCATATCCACATCCTTATCATCATCATCATCATCATCATGCCTCCATCATCATCATCTTGCCATCATCATCATCATCATCATCATCATCATCATCATCATCATTCCGTCATCTTCATCACCATCATGCCGTCATTACCACCATCATTATCGCCATGCTGTCATCATCATCGTGCCGCCATCATCATCATCATCATCACCACCATCATGCCACCACCATCATCATCATCATCATCATCATCATCACCACCATCATCATCATCATCATCATCATCATCATCATCATCATCATCGCCATCACCATTATGCCGCATCATCATCATCATCATCATCACCAGCATGCCACCATCATCATCATCATCATCGTCATCATCATCATCATCATCATCATCATCATCATCACCCTCATGCCACCATTATCATCTCACCATCACCCTCATGCCACCATCATCATCATCATCATCATCATCACCATCACCATCACCCTCATGCCACCATCATCATCTCACCATCACCCTCATGCCACCATCATCATCATCATCAGCAGCAGCAGCAGCAGCATCATCATCAGCATCACCATTATGCCGCATCAGCATCAGCATCACCATCATCCCATCATCATCATCATCATCACCCTCATGCCGCCATCATCATCTCTCCATCATCGTCATCACCATCATCATCATCATCATCATCATCATCATCATCACCCTCATGCCGCCATCATCATCATCATCATCATCATGCTGCCATCATCATCACCGTCATCAGACCGTCATAACCATCCTTATCATGTGGGAGGGACTCCAAAAGACGAATCACGTGACAGGGCGGGTGAAATGCCACTCCAAGACACTCCAACAAGAGCGAGAACGGCCCCATCAGATTGAACATGGACTTGGAGCAAGGTAGGTGCATTCTCACGCTCCGGAATGAAGTGGTTGGCCATAGCAGAGCTCTGAGGGTTATAGCAAGGACTTAGCACATAAAGTTTTATCGGAACTACAGTAATAAACGAATAAAAAGTTAAACACCCCGTCCAAAAAAAAAAAAAAAAAAAGAGACGCTCGTCAAAAACAAACCCCTATGTTTTCAACAACACTCACATGTTTAAAATCGCACTGATTCGCACATAACTTTCTCTCCGTTTCACTGTTCTTGGTTTCTTCAGCATTCAACTTCGCCTTACGATAGACAAAAATCCGGGGCGCAGCATGCATTTAAAAAAAAAGAATTCGACCCAACGAGCCTACCGTCTTCACGCGAATAGAACCCCCGGTAATTATGGCCGAATCTGGACTGAAAAACGCATCAAATACAGCTAGAATGACCGGGCGGGCATTCTATTCGGGTGAAGACGGTTGCTCAATTGGTACACCCATGAACTTGTTGATATACACAGACTCCAGTTCGAATCCGGAGATAATCAGATGCTGATGACTAGAATAACATAATACTCAGTTACCTGGGGCCGGTCAGCTTCAATGATGATATCAAAACTCCGAAGGGACGTCGACCTTAATAAATCAATTAAGAAAGAAAATTAAAAAGAACGTCTGGAAAAAACGCTGCAGAACGCTTTTATTTTTATTTTTTTTATACGGCTAACCAATTCAATTACCTGTCGACTCTGGTTTATTGTCATTATAGTATTACGGGGAACCCCTACACGAGGTGGGCGATACCGGCCAGGGGTCAGCCGGTAGCATCAGGACCTACAGTAGCTTCTTCTATGGGCTAGTCACTGTGCCTCCCTCAAGTCTCCTCCCCCTATGAACATCAGCAGTTTCTGCTCAATGCCACTCCGGGCGGACCTGCTAGCACCCACCAGCAGGTGCGATACCTGCTACAGCAGATGGGGGACACTGGCCAGGGGGGCCTGTGACGAACTAGCTTCTGTAATGCGCGACTTTCGGCGCGAAGTGCTGAGCGGGTCCCACATCGAGTGGATGGGTTGATGGAAAATTGCATGTGTGTCCTTGTTTTTTTTTTTTGTTTCTTCATTCTTGCACGAGCCCCTGATGACAGTTGGGGACAATTCGGGAATATGCGGGGAAAAGGGGGCGAAACTTGGACGGATGCGGAGTGCGCGCCGAGTGCGCAATTAATAAACATTGACGTCTCTTCTTTTCTTTCAATTTTGTTTTGTCGAACTTTTGGGCTCGCAGACATCACGCGGGAATTTCGGTGTCTCTTTTGAATTTCTTTCTTGAATTTTCTTTTCGAATCTTGGTCAGAGCCATACGGCCTTCGGAATTTTGATTTTCTCTTMGGACCTTTTTGGCAGGCTAGCTAGGAATTTAGGAATTTTGGAATTCCTGCTTTTCTGGGGCGCTGCTCTGCATGCTCGCGCGCTCTTTCTTGCTGCTGCGCCGGAACCGTGATTGATTGGCGCCTTAATCCTTTTGCAACTGTAATTTTTGGCGCACACTTTTGTAACTGTATCTTTCTGTTTCTTGCTTCTTCTTCTTCCCGCCTCGTT